TCACAACATAACCGCTGCTGTTGTACTAGATAAAAGTACATGTGATTCTTGTTGACTTGTAGTACTCCAGAATCTGATGTTTTTGCATATAGAATTCCACATAAGAGGATCTTTCAGGCCCTCACCATCCTTGAAAATGATATACTTAGCGTCAAAAATTCCATGTGGATCCTTCCTGCTTGGCTCTGTTATCAGACCATCTGGAGAGGCACCCAAATTCCTTTTCTTTTTCATTCAAGAAACCACATTGTGTTAGTGTGGCCTTTGTGTGTCCCTGCTTGTGCATCATTTCAATGTTATTGTCTCTCACCAGCTGATCATTTTTTTGAGTCATCTCTCATGGCCTGTGACTGATACAATGTAGTTGTTGTCACTGTAGAGGACTTCTTTGATTATTTTAGAAGGGGAAGTCCCTACCTTATGAGTGCATCCAACCCTGTGACTCTCTGAAGCTGTCTCTCTACCAAACCTGTGTTTATACACTTCTTGCCAAGCAGACTGTGTTCTTGTTTGAGACTCCACTTCAGCAATTTCATCTTCAGTCTTGAAAAGGCTTCTTTTTATTCTTTCACAACCATTATGTATTTCTTGCAGAGACACTGGGTGTTCCTTCACTGGTGATATTATTTGAAATACGGTGTCCTGATGATGTTTCATGTCCTCTGTTCGCTCAACTATATCATCAACTTCTGTTTCACAACTTGAAATTGAAAGTGAACAGTTAGAGGAGATACAAGTATTGTTATCTTGAATGTCTGTTCCAAACTCTTTGAGTTGCATGTGAAATGCAGAACCGTACGCAACTTCTCTAACTATTGTGCCAAGTAACTTGATACTATCCGCATCAGGGATCTTTTTCGGAAATGGAACAGCAGGATTTATTCTTTGTATATTCTGTTTCAATCTTTCAACTGATTCTAGGTCTAACTTATGCTATTTTGATGGTCTTGGATTGAACAGCATGGGATAGACACCTTGACGCTTTCTTCCCTGGAGGTCTGAGGAATGGCGAGGTTTAAAAAGTTTCTCTGTCATGATTGGCTTATGTTGTCACACTAGGCAGCTAGAATTTTGGGTTTGCCGTTCCCCTGAACTACCATTTTGACTTTGTACATGTAATTCACAGATTTCCTATAGGAGGCCTGGCAAAGCGCTCTAAGGTAAAAAACATCATCCTTGGAATTTGGATTGGCACACACTTGGAGGTCGTGAACAAATGAGAGCATTCTGAGTCCTTTAGAACTTGCAAACTCGGCAGTGGCATCGGCAGATTTCCTGGTGTTCTTTCCACAGTTTTTAAGGTGTTCTAATGTATCAGACGGAACGAATGTGGGAAGGACAGTAAAATTATCACCAAATGCTGAATCAACGGTGGGAAAGTTCTTGAAGTGGTTTGCTGTATCCACTCGTGGTTTCCCCATTTTACCTCAGTTCTTCATTCTTTCTCACTAATTTGCTTTAGTGAAGCTCCTCTCTGAGTCAGGGTCATACATGTATATTCCTAGGTTTTTCATTGCTTACAGGTTCTTGACCCTCAGAAAGCAAATTTTGTATGAAAACATTGTGTCTAAACCGCTATTTAAGCTTGTACTAGCAGGGTTTTCCTAAACATGTAAATGCGTGTCAGTGATGCATTGTTTGGCTAAAAAACCAAAAGAGGAAGGGTCCTATTGGATGCACACCCACTTGAAGAAACAGTCATGTGACATTTCTGTTGAGAAAAAATTAGCTATTTGTGGGAGATTATGTCAATTCAGAAACCGGCTCTGCTAATACCTCATTTCTGGGAAACAAAAGAATAGTCAACTGCACTGCTGCTGGCATTAAGGATGCCCTCTTTGAGTATCTGAAAGAAAAAAGCCCTGTATAGGGGGATGACTACAGTGGAATTGTAGGACTTGGAACAGATGGCGCAGCTGTCATGACTGGACATTGTAATGGCCTTGGGGTGAAGTTGAAGCAGTTGAACAATATTCTTATCCAAGTACACTGTGTTGCTCACAGACTTAACCTTACTGCCTAGAAGGCAAGTAAGGACATTGATTATCTTGAACAGTACAAAGGGAAAATAAACACCATGTACAAATTCTATTGAAATTCAAGCGTGCAATATAACAAAAACTGAAGGAAATTCAGCAGCGTATGCACGGAAAAGTTAAACAGGTGGTGGATCCTTCATCAGTTAGATGGCTGTCTGTGGAGACGTGCATCAGGATGATATTTGAGGACTATGATTCACTTGTCATGTTCTTGGAAAATGAAAAGAGTTCTAATGCTACAGCTGTTGGAATTTGGCAGTTCACAGCTTCAACACTGTTTCTTCTAACCACAGTCTTGTTGATTGATGTTCTGTCAGTTATTGGGACATTTAGTCCTCTGTTTCAGAGGGATGTTGCCAACTTGTCTGTCATAAGACACAGTGTACCTTCCACTGCTCAGGCATTTGAAGGAATGATTGATGGATCTCCTGTGGTAAACAGAGTGTTGGCAGACCTAGGTGATGTTCCTGGCACTTGGAAGAATATCTGCAAGGGAGTGGAAATTGCTGATAACAACAACCTAAGAGCCCTGTTCAACTCAGTGTGAAGGAGATACCTGAACCAGCTTGCCGGCAACCTACACAACAGGTTTCTAGAAAATGACTTGGAGCTACTGAAATGTTTTGATGTTGTCTTGAACCCTAGACGACTACCTGATGGTGCAAGAGAGTTAGGAAACCATGATGATGAACAACTCAATAAACTTTGTCATTACTTTGAAACTGTTCTTGACTCAAATAGGTGTAAAAACCAATTTCTTCAGTTCAAGCATCAAGTGCCCAGTTACAGAGCTGTGAACTTTGAACAGTTTACTAGCTGTCTCATTCAAGAGTATAAAGATGTCCACCCTGATTTTGTGCAACTAGCTTTAGTCAGTCTCGTAATCCCAGTATCAAGTGCTCCTTGTGAGAGAGGGTTTTCTGTACAAAATGCAATCGCAACCAAGCTGAATGATGATCAGACTAGTTGGACCCAGCTTTGAAAATGTTGATTTTCCTACAGCAGCACGTGCATTTAGAGACGTGAAGGAAAGGCAAAAATGAAAAGTGTTGAACACAACATGTCATGTAACTTTCTTACTGAACAGATGCAGCTAAACCTAAAGAGATTACTTGCAAATGTTAATATTTTTAAAGTAGCATTGAAGCAAGGACATTGTTAGTGTATTATCCTGACTAAGTTTGAGTTAGTGAGAAATACCTTAAGTGCTGTCTTCCTTTTCAAATAAAGTAAACATAGCAAAAACTGATTGAGTAAAAGATATGTTTATTTAATTTTGTTACATTCGTCTCTTGGAGTTTACAATAAAACAATGCTGGACCCCTACTTTTTTCTCTGGGACTGGCAACTTTAGGCTAAAGGAGTCCTAAGGACTGCCCCTCAAAAAGATTGAGGGAAACCCTGACTGAAGTTGAAAATAAACAGCATAAACAGCTGATCAATCGATCATGCGTTCGATTTGGATGATGTACACCTACCATTCCATACAGCGGCATTTTAACCAATATTTTAGTTGAGCAATGGTTAATTTTCCTATCTCTTCTTCGCTAAAGCTACAACCAGTTGCAAAAGTACTTGAGACACTGTACCGTATTTTAGCATAAATGGCCTGTCCATGATCTTGTGCTTGTGATCCCCCTCCACCCCTTATCAAAGTTGCTAGCAATACAAGACCATACTCAAAACTTGGAGGAACAACTTTGAATGGGAGGGAAGAAGGAGGTCAGTATTATAGTTTACAGACATGTAACCACGAGTGATTTGAAGTAAGAAAAGTCGTTTTTCGGTGGGAGTGTCTCAACATTTTTGCAGCTGGTTGTAGCACCAAGAAAGTTCTCTGGAGTAAGATCAACTTGATTGTCAGCTATGTAAGTTATTTCAAATTTGCTGCGAGGGCTATTAAACCTCACTTCCATGCAACTTGTTTTTTGGGAATCAGAGTATTACAGAAATAGACACTGTCATTTGTACAGCTGTATACCATCTAGTTAAAAAAATGACTATTTCCATGCACAAGCATGCACTCTCACAGCTGCATTGATTACTTATTTATAACCCCTTACTGGAATTGTTGATAATGTGCATGTAAGGTATGTTGTTCTTACTTTGAGACTTTGGGTTTTGGTACCCTTGTGGGTGAAAAGGGTTACTGGTGACATTTATTTAAAACAAAGACTCTCCCACTTTTCTGTCATAATGCAACACAAAGATACTGACTTGCAAAGTGTGATATGTGATAGAAGAAAATAAACTGGTGGTAATCAGAGATTAATGAAGTGTGGATTTACACTGATTTGATATCACACGGTTTTGAAGCAAAAGTCAAAGAGAACATTTGTGATACCACATGATTATGAAGACCATGACTGTGTAAGGTCAAGTAACCTTAAAAAAAATGGGGCAAGCAGCTTACTTGAAACAAGGTACATGTAAATTTCTGTGATGTCCTCAGAGAAAATGGCCACCATTCTCAATTTTATCCCCACTATTTACAGGTCACCCAACAGAACAAAATTAGGAAGTGGTTTATTGGCTGCAATTAATTGTAGACTTATATTAACTATCAAGGCTTAAAATTATTTCAAGCTCTGCATATAGGACTTACCATCTCATTATTAGTGGAGAGCAGTTCAAAAAAATAGTCTTCCACTTGCTGCCCAGGTCTAAGTTGAAGTGAGAAAAAAAAAAAAAGACAAGAAGCCCTGCTAAGTTTTGAGATCTGAACTCAGCCCAGTCCCTCCCATAAAACGTTTGATCATTAATTATTATTAACCTGCTTGGTCTATGGAATAAATTTAAAGTTTCAATTCATGGGCATCTTTTCAGTGTGCATGTGTTTTGTTTAAACAATGATAATTATTGCTTAATTCTAGTGTTAACCCAGAGTTAACAAGTTGCTAACTATAAAGATTTGATTCTGGGGTAAAGCTTGTCTGTTGCATGTCCCTTTTATGTCTGTATTACAGTCAACCCTGGTCAAGCTTACCCTCATAGATTCTCATAACGAACTGATTATTTGAAATTTAAACCTGTTAGTTGCTATCTCTACTCGAGTATCAAATTCCATTCCTGCAATATTGTATAATAAGCAGTGGGTTTTCGACTACAAACTTTACTTTTTGATCAATAACGATTTCTTAAAACATAAGCAAGCGAATATTAACACTAAAAGCCAACCTTTCGGTATCATCATGACACCATTCTCAAGGCAAAATGAATAAATAATGCAAAGATTTGATTTCTATAGTCTCTACAAATTAGCATAATAACAAAGGATCACAAGTTCTTCAAGTGAATACCTTTGCGCGAATCGAGTCCGCCTGCACGTTTAGGGATGGTTTGAGTTTTCTTATAAAGAGCATCTCCTTAATTAGGCAATCAAATTTGTTAGAACCTTTAGTGAGCACGTGAAATTGTTCTGAAAGAAAAGGTGGTACGTCCGAGTTATGTTCGCTAAGATAATGTTTACAAACTCAACGAAGACCTTAAATTTCAAGAAGTCAAGCCAGCCATTGTTAACCAACAATGTTTAGTTTATCAATTTCAACGTAACCTGTGCGATGCAGGATATGTTGGTTATACTCACGGCCACCTTCACGAACGCATTGATGGACACAAACAGAAATCATCATCAATTTGTAAACATTATAGACACGAGTAAAAGCCATTCGACTACCTTAACCTCACTTTTAGCTCTAGGCAATAATTTTTATTATACCTTGTTTCTTCAATGCTCAATGGCAAATGAATGTGATCTCCTAGCTGCAAAAGAGAATTTCAAAAAATGAGAACTTTTGTGATCCACTAGGTTAGGTTTGGATGTACCCATGACTAAGATTCAAGGGTGTTATTAAAGTATTACTGCTAAACTGTTTTGGTATACAATTCTGGGAAAAAAACAGCCCAGCCACCCCTCCCCTAACCCAACATTTTGTCTCAAGAGAGAAATTAGTGTTAATGTTGGGTTAGGGGAGGGGTGGGTACTGTGGGTAGGCAGTTTCCCAGCATCTCACACTGTTCCATTTCAGCGGAGAGCCTGTACCTGCTCACGTTGCTTCAGTATGACTTTAATTCATAGTGGTCACAATTTATTCAGTTCCCATTTTGAGCTCTGTATTTGTTAACCTGGTCACTACACCAGTACAAAATTTAATATCATACCAGTTTGAGTCATACCTGATGCAAGTTCATCCTTGTAGCTTCTCTTTGTGGAGATTTTAGAACTTGTACTGGTGTCATGGAAACACGTTATGACCATTTGTTTCAGTATAAAATTATTATTAGTCTCCTGCAAGACTAGCTCATGTAATGCAAGTCTTATAATCATTGCATGGTGCTAAATGGAGTCATGTTTGAAATTTTTGTTGGTACATTATGTTTTGAAGTGTCTCATAAAAGACCAACCTTCATTGAAATTTGGTATGACCTTCATACTGGTGTGAATTTCATGTAACTGCAAAACCCATGTCTTTGCATGACATCAGTCATTCCCTTTTTCAGTGTTCTATTTTAAAATTTACATCAATTGCAAAAAAAAAAGCAAATGTCTTTCAGATTTGGTTGAAGATTAAGCTGAGGGATTTAAGCCAATCAGAAACTGAGAAATATTTTGAATGAATAATAGTACAATCTTATGGAACCTTTTAATCAATTGGAACCAATTAATCCTAATGAAGACCAGTATAATGAATAATATTCTTTGCCCTAGTTACAGAAAGATAATGCAGGATAATAATTGATTTATAGATCTGCAAAGTACACACATGGCTGTCGTTAAGGCAAGGGGCCAGGGATTTCCTCCAGGTAATATGAAGGTGAACCCCCCAGCTACTTTCATAAGAAAATAAAAGATAATTGGAACCAAAAGAAATCCCTAGCTGTTTGATTCCCCACCTACTTAATGTATTTCCCCAGCAACTTGAAATCTTTGCGACAGCCCTGACCCTTGTTACAATGAACACATTTTCCCAGTCTCCTGGCATTTTATTGTAATTATTGTTGAGGGTTCACCAAAGTCCAAAGAAAATTTAATGCCTAAATCGATTTTTTGCTTATATGAATGAGTAATACTGTGTTATTTGTTAAAAAAAGCATGAAAACACTCTAATTTATTACCTCCAGGGATGTGATCTGATGTTGCATCAAATGCTGAAATCTGGAAGTCAAAAATGAACAGTGCAAGTTAGTAAGTAATAATGATAATGATAATAATAATAATAATAATAATAATAATAATAATAATAATAATAATAATTTATTATTTATAAAGTGCAAAATAGCTTTTAAATATATGATGTAATGCACAGGCAAGTTATATTGACACTTTTTTTTTTTACTTCCATATTGCTCAAAGTTCAAAACTGCACCATGTCTGTCATGTAACATTTGGACAACCAGATTGCTAATAAAGTATACATAACATATACAAGTTGGAAAAACAATAGGATATGAAGTCCGCGACAAGGTTAAACCACCCATAATATTAGTAGGCAGGGAATTGAGCAGGTAGAAGGTTCTTCTGGTTCTATTTTCGCTTTGTTTCCTATGGAGGTAGCCGCAGTTCATCCTTTTAGTAGCTGGGGAAAATCTGCAGCCCCCTGGCCCTCAGTTACAGCCCTGATGTGTGTCCTGTCATTATAGTGCCAGAAAATGCTTGTTAGGTAAGTTTTCTGAGCTTGGAGGTAATTTTCTTCACACTCTCTAGACTTCTGGACTGTTACAATTTTTATTAGTTATACACCGTTTGGTTAT